GTGTGTAGGAATGCTTGTGATTTTTGCACATTGATTTTGTATCCTGAGACTTTGCTGAAGTTGCTTATCAGCTTAAGGAGATTTTTGGCTGAGATGATGGGGTTTCTTAATATACAGTCATGTCATCTGCAAACAGAGACAATTTGACTTACTGTCTTCCTATTTGAATACGCGTTATTTTTTTATCTTGCCTGATTGCCTTGGCCAGAACTTCCTATACTATGTTGAATAGGAGTGGTGAGAGAGGGCATCCTTGTCTTGTGCCAGTTTTCAATGAGAATACTTCCAGCTTTTGCCCATTCAGTATGATACTGGCTATGGGTTTGCCATAAATATCTCTTATTAATTTGAGATACATTCCATCGATACCTAATTTATTGAGAGTTTTTAGCTTGAAGGGGTGTTGAATTTTGTCGAAGGCCTTTACTGAATTTATTGAGATAATCATGTGATTATTGTCATTGGTTCTGTTTATGTGATGGATTATGTTTATTGATTTGCATATGTTGAACCAGGCTTGGATCCCAGGGATGAAGCCGACTTGATTGTGGTGGATAAGCTTTTTGATGTGCTGCTGGATTCAATTTGCCAGTATTTTATTGAGGATTTTTGCATCGATGTTCATCAGGGATATTGGCCTGAAATTTTCTTTTTTGTTGTGTCTCTGCCAGGTTTTGGTATCAGGATGATGCTAGCTGCACAAAATGAGTTAGGGAGGAATCCCTCTTTTTCTATTGTTTGGAATAGTTTCAGAAGGAATAGTGCCTACTCCTCCTTGTACCTCTGGTAGAATTAGGCTGTGAATCCATCTGGTCCTGGACTGTTTTTGGTTGGTAGGCTATTAATTACTGCCTCAATTACAGAACTTGTTGTTGGTCTATTCAAGGATTCAACTTCTTCCTCGTTTAGACTGGGGAGGTTGTGTATGGCCAGGAATTTATCCATTTCTTCTAGATTTTCTAGTTTATTTGCATAAAGATGTTTCTAGTGTTCTCTGATAATAGTTTGTATTTCTGTGGGAACAAACCATTTCAACAAAGAATCAAGAAACTGGAGCAGCTATCTTTTGTCTCCATATGGATGTGTACACTTACAACACGTGGAGCTTTCTCTGATTTGACCAGATTGCATTCTTGGTTCACTCCTCCCTCCTTGTGTGGCTCCAGTAGCTGTCCTCTGCTTCTCTTTGCTAACATATCGTTGGACCCTCTCCATCTCTATTCCTAGAAGTCATCAAACCATAAAAGGGTGACTACAAAGTAATGGGGCACACAAGTGGAACACTTACCATTTCATAAGGAATGCTTCTACGAAGATATAACATTTAACCTCTATTGAGAGAAAATAGGAGTTTTCCAGGGCAAGAGAGTAGGGGCAGTGTGGTAAACAGCATTTTGGGAATGGGGATTTCATGTACAGATATGCAGAGAATGACACAGCCAAATATATTGTAAACATAAAACAGGTAGAAGACACAAAGTTGGCAAGTGTGAAAAATGATATCCAAAAAGTTGTTTGACTGAATTTACAGAGTGCCATTCAGAAGTTAACTGATCAATACAAAGGGTATCTGATTCAGTCTGTGTTTTCAAGAGACAGGCTTTCCAAAAACACAGAGAATAGACTGGGGGGAAGATACACTGGAGGACGAAAAACCAGCAAAGTGTGCCATGTTCAAACAGCAGCATTTTAAATAAACACATTTTAAATATTCAAAGTTTATTTTTGAGCAAGAGTTCCAGTTGTTAAAAGAGAGGATCAGAATGACATCCTCAAGGTAGCAAAATATTATTTTTACTTTTCATAATTAATTCATGTATTTAATACTCCATTGAAATTCATTGCTTCATTTAAGTATTTACTGTGTAGTAAGCACTGTGCACTGTTCAAGCTATTGAGGACACAATGGTGAGCAAAACAGATAAAAACTACCCCATCCTCATGGAGATTATATTTTGGTATGCAAAGCAAATGCTCCAAAAGGATATCGAAACTGCCAAATTAAGACAAAGAGCTAGGAAGCACACAGGGAGCAAGTCAAGAGCTTTTATCAGACAAACAACAATTTTTTATACTTAAAAAAATTCACTTATTTGTTTCTTTTGGTAACCAAATAAACCCAAAGGCTTGAGTGGGACAAATATTATTATCACCCCTACCCCCTTTTAGATTTTGAAGCAAAATGTCAGAAAAGGTAAGTAATTTTCCCACATTGATAATGTCAGTAGAGAGGTAAACCTCACCCCTGGACACTCTGATGCAGACACATCTCATGCCTTTTCCATAAGTCATCTCTAAGCACGAGAAACACAAAAAGAACTAAAGGGAGGGAAGGATGTAGCTTTATTTGTTGCTTAAAACAATGAACAATAGAAACAAGTTAAGAATAACCTGCAATTAATGACAATGCTTGTGGTTCTGACGTAAGGGAAGATCTTTGCAGCTTTCTGGAAGTGGTAAAAAATGTGCTCAGTTTCAGGGATGTACTACCATTTCTACTGCCCAGAGACTAAAATGTAATAATGCATGGAATATTAAATTAGAGACATTTTGTTAACCTGATGAATGAGCCTTAGTTTCTTTGGGACCAGAACATTGTCGTAGATACATAAGAAGCCCAACAGTAAACAGGAAAATCAAAACAGACAAAGAAGGAATCACAATCAGTGGCAAAAATCCTCTTTTCTTTGCAGATGCTGGGCCACTGTCAACACTACCCCCATAGCCTCTGTGCAGGCAGTAGGGAGGGGACCACCCATAGCCACAGTGGCAGTGATGTTGGTTATTGCAGATCCCCTTCATATTGCAGGTCTCAGGAAGGCAGACGTGTGACAAGACAGACAGACTGACACACTTCTTGTGGATGCAGATCTTTCCTGGGCCACACACAGTACCATCTTTCACGTCACCAATGTCAGGTATGTTCATCCTTAAATGATAGTCAGTACCCCAGCAGGTGACGCCATTGATACGAGTGTGCTGCAAAGTAAAATGATCTTGGAGAAGAGGAATGTCTCTCACATTCTCACATTGAACTCTCCCACAAAAGACATCAGAGATATGACATTTTAGGTATGTTGTGCCATTTATACCACAGTGACCAAAACGGTTTCCCTGAGAGTTGATTTCTTTATAGCAATTCTGAGATGCACTTTTTGCATCTTTACCAAAAACCTCCCTGCAATGCTGGTCGTGGTTATTACATCTCTTTTGATAGCAGTAGGCACTGTCACTACAGGGGATACGGTCCTGCACATACCTATCTTCTGGACACTGATAGGATATTCCATTGCACCTTTCTGGAAGGTCACATTCATTGACCTCTTGTCTACAGAGTTCCCCTGATGGCATGAACTTGCAGTCTTTGCAACAAAGCCCGAAAGCACAGGCAGCCCCAGGCAGAGTGCAGTTCAACAGACAACAGGCATCTTGTTCACACTGCTGTATGGATCCACAGTCACACTGCTCTTCTCTTTCAACCACACCATTCCCACAGCGCTTTAGCATAAAAATTTCCCTCAATCTTGAAGGATTATGCAGACATGATCCCTGGTTTAAGGTGGTCTTCATAAAATCACCATAACTGCAATTGGTGAATTTCTCTGCTGGCACTCTAAAAGTACACATGATACAACCTCTTTCCCCACAAAAACAGAATTCTTCATCATGCTGCATACCCAAAGAATGACGTAACTCATGGGCCACAGTGTTGGCAAAAAGAGACCAGGTATCTCCTTGAAAATTATCAACTACACAATCAATAGGTGGATGACATATTCCTGCAATGTAGGCTAGACCAAGTATACTTATAAGTGAATTTTTTATGAACATATGTGCAGCATCATGCTGTAATTGGTAAAGACTGATTAGTTTCCATTGAGAGAAATCGTTCAGGACCTGTTCTATGCTTGTCATTGGGAAAATATTTCCTTGATTCCAAATTTCAATTCCAGTCAAAATTACATAACTACCTAACTGTTTATACATGGAATCCACTATGTTGACAACGAGAAATACATCCTCTTGTACCTTTGAGATGTTGCTTTGAGAGTAAATGAAGAAATCATGGTTCACCACAACAACTAGCTCCAGAAACCATGCATGGGTCCACCAGTCGCCAGCAGATTTTGGTTCCAGAGCTGAGTTTTCAGCCTCTTCAAATCCCAACTGTTGGCGTGCTACTTCCTTCTCTGTTAAGCCACATCTCATAGCTGGGAATTGTGTCTCGTTACTGTTTATCTTATAAACCAGGTGTTCAAATGTGGCAGAGTGCCTGATGGGTTCAATTTCATAAGTGAGGCCATTTATTTGTAATACCCCTCGAAAACCCCCAAAACAAGCACTGAACACAGCCAGAGACTCAGGGATCCCCTCCACGTAACCATGATAGTAACAGTCATCTGGGATGAAGGGCTGATCCTCCAGGAGGGCATGCTCATCTGTGTAGGTGAACACTGGGAGGTGTCTAGAAACCAAGAGCTTCTTGACCTTCATGTGAACAACGTGTCTCTTTCCCCCAAGCCGCAGACTATAGGAGAGCCATCCAGGAGCCTTTGCACTTCTGCCCCTGCTGATCACCTTCAAGGGGATCACCACTTCTGGGGAAGTGAAATGCTGGGAGGGCCCAGCCTGACAGTAGCCAGAAATGGACAAAAACACCCCAAGCCAGAGCAGCAGAAGAGCGACCCTGATGTACACTAGGGTCCCATCCACTGCCATTATGAAGTTGTCGTCATGGAGCCATCTGTCCAGAGCAGAAGAGGACAAGGTGTGAGGCACTTCTGGTCTGGCTCCTCCCTCTAAGCTGCTCAGGATGCAGGGCTGACCCTATGGATCTGTGTCCTGGCAGAGTTAGATCAGAACTGCAGTGCTGGAAGTAAAAATAAAAAGATGGGTTGGAAAGGTGATAAGTAAGGAAATCAGGAGAGAAAAAGAATGGAGTGGTGAAAAACTGGTTGATGAATCAAGAAAATGCTTTGGATTTGCTTTTAGTAAATGAGGTAGGGAGTTTGGGGATATAGAGAAGACAACATTGGCCACGTGGTGATAATAGCTGAAGTTGGAAGACGGGTACTTAAATAATTATCTCAATCTTTACAGGCAGTATGAAAATGTCCATAATAAAAAGTAAAAGCAAAAGTAAAGAAACTTAAGAATAGGGTGACTCTATATCTCAATTTGTCCAAGATAATATTAGTTTATGCCTGTTGCCCTTGCAATAACTATTGATAGTGTCTCCTTTGAGTTTCAAAACTGGAGACATCAAAAACAATTGTAATTCTGTGTCAAGTTGCATCAGTTTTATGATACACTTTAGTTTCTTTATCTCAACGTTATTTACTATTCCTCATTGTGTTCATCTTTACTCATAATTTTATTAGACTGCAAGATTCTTGACTGCATGGTTTATGATTTTCATTTATTTTAGTATCCTCTATAATGTGTTGTATAGTTCTGTGTACAATGAAAAATGAAAAAAGAGAGGAAGGGTGGTGAAGTGTTTTGCCTTATAAATTAATGCTACTAAAATGTATTCATATTGTATTATAATTTTAGGAAAAGAAAAAAATTCATGAAACACTGACATCCTTTAAGGGTATGGAGAACATAATGTTTTTCTCCCCAGTTACTGACAGGAGAGTCCCAAAGACAAAAGCAAAAGCTTTCAGAAGAGAAAATGAGAATCTGTGCAGTTTAAAGGTCTTGGGAAAAGGAACTCTTGTCTTATTAGGGCAAAACCGTTGGAGAGTCTGGCATTTTAGGATTGCCAGGGAAGAGTCCCAATGTTTGCTCAAATATATTTACCAACAGTTTTTGAAAGTGGAGAATTTCTGCACCTGTCATACAATCTGGCTGGCAACACTCATCCATTTCTTTTTCTATTAAACAAGTCTTTATGTGTTTGAAGCATACAAAGTGCAGGACATGTGCTAGATATTAGAGAAAGAAAACAAAAATACAGAGCATTAAATAAATCATCAATTTAGTGCAGGAGCAAGAATAAGCTTTAGGAGGCCTTTAATATTGTATTCGATATTTTATATATTTTGTGCCTTTTTTTTGCTGACGAGAGTGTCCATATATTTCATCATAGTCTCAAAACTGTCAAAAGTGAGGCTAATAAGCACTGAGCATGTGTAGAAACAAACAAATAAACAGGTAATTGTAATATGATCAAGACCAGATTAATCTGAAGATAACATAGTCTATGATTCAGGAATCTTCGTTGTACTGATCTCCATAAAGACCTTGAAAGGGGCTCAGTAATGGACTTTATGAAACTCCTCAAACTACAAGAGATCAAAATTAGTCACTATGCAAGAAAAATCAGAAATATTAAAACTGAAAAACCCTGAAATACTATAACTCATACAAAAAAAGATTTAATAAAGGCTTTCTAAAATTTGACGATAGTAAATTTTATTATTTATTTCATTACCAATAACAAGCTGTGAAGCTGAATTTTCTTTTCTAAACTATTAATAATACAAACTCAATTTCTATTAAACATACTAGGGAAAGGCAAATGCCTTTCAGTTCTTGCTATAGAAATTATAACAAAATAATTCTCTTAAGGGAGGCAATTAAATAAGAAGCAATTTGAAAACTGTAGGGAAAAGGTATCATGGAAGTGAGTCAGGAAGTTGATTAGTATAAATATGAAGGGATTAAATTTTGTGATGTTTATGGCGTTTTCAACCTTTTAATATTTATAATTTGTTGCGGCTTCTTTCTTATGCTAAATAGATCCTCATTTTCACACTTATTTTCTGCAATTGTAACTTGGTATTGTTTTTTGCAAAGTGGGCCCTCATCTTGTAGGTGCATTAGGCCCAAAAACTTAATTTCATCTCTGACTGTGATCAATGTATTGATGAAGGTAGGTGCCATTTCTTATAAGAACAAAAAGGAAAAGCATTTAAATCAAGCTAATCTAAGAAGACTTACATAGAAGATATACAAATGAACATGCCTGACCCAACACCAATCATCTCCTGGATTTTGAATCCGTTTCTAATCAATGCTTTCTTTGCCCTGATTCAAGTTTCCTTATATTCTCTTCTTATAACTTCCCTTGTGCTTTCCAGAGTCTTCCTTTAAAGACAAAAGGAGGGAGAGAGAGAGGGAGAGAGACAGGCAGAGAGAGAGAGAAAGAGCGAGAGAGAGAATGAACCAACTCCATCCTGAACCTCTTCACAGAAAGCTCCCTACATCTACTTACCTTATTAAACCTGAGCTTTAATAGAATTTACTGCTTGCCTAAAGACTTCCTCTTGAGAAACCCCATCCTCAGAAATCACATGTACCACAAGGTCCAGAGTTCCTGTTCTCCACAGCCCACAACATCAACACCAAATCATTTATCCTGCAATATCTGACTACACTATTTTTTAGATTTCTCTTATCACTCTTGGACAAAATTCAAAGGCTTTGGCCCCTGACTAATAAAATTACTCTCCACCAAAAATCCTACCCTCATCTTAAAGTACTATCAGCAAGTATATAGACAACCCATCTGAAAACAAGACAGGGTTTTTTAAAGTTTTTTTTTTTTAACCTCTTCAATTCGTCTTCAGTGTAATTCAGCCTACTCACTCAGTGTAACTCAGCCTACCTACTCAGTCATAATGTATACCTTGTCAACACACAAAAAATTTCATATACCCTAAGCAATTTACCAACAATTTTAGTTCTCCCAAGTCTCCCTTACTCCTGCTATACCTATTTCTCAAACCCAAAGAGAACTCACTTTTTTCTTTCATTGTCTCCCATCTCACTCAATGTTCTTGTCTTCCAATCCACTCGAGCTCTGCTACCAGTTTCATCCCTTCAAGCACTGTATGCCAAAATCTTTAACTCTCTAAAATCCTAATTATAACACAAAATGTAGGGGGTAGGATGGGCGATGGGCAGGAACTGCATTAATCCTTCACATACTTTTTCCACTCCTACATCAAAGCTACCAATGCTACTCTGAAAAAAAAAAAAAAAAATCATAAACCAATGTGTTTGTGAAAGGTTTAGAAAGAGAACATAGAAATCAGAACTGAAATGGCTTGTCCTGGACCCCCAGCCTAAGGAATAGACATATAAAATTCAACAGATATGTCAAAACCTCCTATGCCATATTGCTCTTTTCTTTATTCTCCTGGGCATTGCATTCCTTGTTTATGTATCGTGTTCTGAGTTTCCTCAATGTTCTGAGTTTCATCATTTATGTATAGTGCCAGCAGCTGAAAATCCATTCTCATTGTCTCTCAATCACAGTAGAGTTAGTTAACCAAGTACCTTTCCTTTCTAATATAAAGTATTTAAGGTTTTTTCCTTTTCTTGTCCTAGATTGGCTATGTGGATGCTGGAAGATGGGGAAAACTTGTTTCAGTCTGAACATTATCCTTGCCATCAACTTGCCTAAAGAGGTTGGATTCATCTGGGCGGTTTTCATTCCTGCAAGTTAGGCACCTTATTCCATGAGGTGTAAGAAGCATGGAAGAGAAAAGCAAAGTTCATAGACAAAACTTCCAAGAACAAAGGTCTCTGAATTGGGAGGAAATTCTAACTGCCAGATTTGCTCTCGGTATTTCTCTTGATATGTTTTCTACTTATTATGGAGTGACAGTTGTTGTGGATGGGAGGATTGAAAATGGGAAGAACTAACCAAAGATATAATGTTGTGGAAAGGACTGATAAACTACACAAACCCGTGTCATATTATTCTTTTCTTGGAGCTCAGCGTGAGAGCAGGCAATAACAGGAGAATAACTTCAAAAATATCTGTAAGCCAGATTCATTGTCTTCATTCCTAGGACTTACAGAGACCAAAGCTCCTGAAGTACCATCATTCTACCAGGGATACTGTGAGGTGGTCCCACTCTAAATCCATGTCCTCTAACATCAGTGGACTATCCAGTGAGCCAACAGCCCACTTATTCATGTGTGATAAACTCTTCCTTTCCCCACAGCTATTTCAAATTCATCAAGACCCCTCTCTACCCATCTTCCCTCTTATTCCAATGCCCTAATGCACTGTTTTCCTATCTGTCTGTCACTAGTATCTGTCCCATTAGAGTCATGGAAGTAATTCAGCTGGTTATAGCCTGCAGTTGTTTTCCTTAAGGGAATAGAACAGAAACATCAGAAGGCATCCCTAGAAGATCCTTAGCAACTCTTGAACACACAGTGCCAAATATTTGGGTGTAAGTGTGTGTAAGGCCACAATGTCACAATATAAAATGGATTTCTTTCTCAGAAATATGGTGTGTGTGTGTGTGTGTGTGTGTATATATATATACCTCCTATGCCATATTGCCCTTTTCGAGCATATGTATATGTGTGTGTGTGTGTATATATATATATATATCTCGAGTGTGTGTGTGTGTATATATATATATATGCCAAATTCAAAGCAAAATGGTTTCTGGGCCTTTCATCATCTGAATCCGCCTATATCTACCTCTTCTCTACCTCACTCCCTCTCCAGTCTCAGTGGAAATGTGATCCTCCCCCAGATTCAGGTAGTAACCCCTCATGGTTCCAGGTCATCTCTCCCACATACATAAGGACTGTTTCTATCAATTTTCCCCACACTCAACTGTATCTTCATCTTCTACTACCTTACCTATTCCTTACTGGCAATTGGGGTAACCAGCTCATTCTGATTTTCCCAGGACTGTCCTGGTTTTAAAACTAAAAGTCCTGTACCCAGCAATCCTCTCAGTCCCAACCAAACTGAAACCAAACTTGATGAATGACTTACCATCAGAAGAAACAGTAGTTTCCATGGCCCTTTCTGTCTAGATGGTTTGTACCACCCTTTATTAATGAACAAAGGTTTGCAGCTGTGACCACAGAACAAAGGGAAATGTAAGCCGTCCCCCTTTTGTCTCTCAGGTGACTAAATTTTAGATTTAGCTGCTTAGCAACAAGGATCTTTAACTTCTTAGAGAAATAATAATAGGCTCTCAAGAATATCTTGCTCTGATCCAACCATTTCTATACTCATTTCCAAATTCAATATGATTGGAATTGTGTTGTCTCCTCACGTCCGGTCTATGTCCCCTGACAGCACAGGTTCGTAATTTTGCCGGTGCCATTGCATTGGTCTAGACTGTCTAATCACTTTTCCCACTGAACTGAATTACAGTAACTTTCTAGGGCAAGATCAAATTCCACTTCCATTATCAAATCTTTCCTAAATAATCCAGAAAACATTAACATCCTATAACTCTCTTTATAACTATAACATGCAACACATTTTTGTGTGACAAAATTTATATCCTTGCTATTTTCATTTTATTTGTGAGTTTTAGATGCTGGAGAGGATGTAGAAAAATAGGAACACTTTTACACTGTTGGTGGGAGTGTAAATTAGTTCAACCATTGTGGAAGATACTGTGGTGACTCCTCAAGGATCTAGAAGCAGAAATACCATTTGACCCAGCAATCCAACTACTGGGTATATACCCAAAGGATTATAAATCATGCTACTATAAAGACACATGCACACATATGTTTATTGCAGGACTGTTCCCAATAGCAAAGACTTGGAACCAACCCAAACACCCATCAATAATAGATGGAATAAAGAAAATGTGACACATATACACCATGGAATACTATGCAGCCATAAAAAAAAGGATGAGTTCATGTCCTTTGCAGGGACTTGGAGGAAGCTGGAAACCATCATTCTTAGCAAACTAACACACAAGAACAGAAAAACAAACACTGCATGTTCTCACTCTAAGTGGGAGTTGAACAATGAGAACACATGGACACAGGAAGGGCAACGTCACACACCAGGACCTGTCGGGGGTTTGGGGGCTAGGGGAGGGAGGGATAGCATAAGGAGAAATACGTAACGTAGATGATGGGTTGATGGGTGCAGCAAACCACCATGGCACATATATACTTATGTAACAAACCTGCATGTTCTGCACATGTATCTCAGAACTTAAAGTATAATAATAATAAAATAAAATTTAAAAAAATAAATAAAAATAAAAAATAAAAAGACAATTATAGTACAATGATTGTAAAGACAAAGAAACAAAACTTGAGTTACTTCAATTCTGTTATTCTTTGTGATAAGATAACATTTTTATTTGTGTTTAGAATTTTAGATTATAGGCATATTTCAAAACTGGTAGAGTTGATACTGAAAAAATAAAGACATGGAAACTTTATTTTTATTGTGAAATTAGATTCTTATGAATCTCTGCTTATCTTTTATGTAAAGCTTTTCTTAACTATTTTATTATCTTCAATTTTCATGTTAGCAAAACTTTTGAAGTTAAAATAAATAAAAAATTAATGGATAAATCTGGGTGTACTATCCTTCGAGCGTAAGTATGTGAAGATCAATTTTGTTGAAGTCATGGACAAATCTGTGGAAGTTAAAACTCAAGAAAACAGAAACTGTAATGTTGTGATTTACTTATATGATAGGCTAATATGAAGTAAGTTTTCCTATGTCTTTTAAAAATATATATTAATATATTTAACTAGTATTAATTTATTACCTTTTCACTACCCTATTCTTTTGATACTACTCTATTCATTTTACTTTTTATTTTTAAAAACTTTTTCCAGTGGTATGATTGTATATGAAAAGCTCAATGAAAAAAAATTCACTCTCTTCCTTTTTTGAAATGGCATCTTTATTTTCATTTATTTATTTTTACTGACATGATCATACAAGGGTCAGTAAAAGAAAATGTTCACTATTTAAAGTTTCCTGGCCATTAATTATTTGTTTCATTTCATGATTATTCCCAAAAATAACTATGCCATGTAGAGGAAGAAAAGTTAAAACATAATCCACCCTATCTGTCAAACACACTAGATAGAACACTGAGGCTTGATCCAAAAATACGTGGAGCTTATTTTCAAGGCAGTTCAGTTAACTTTTTCCCCTCAGCCATCAGGGTTCCCACCTCACCCTCCTCTCTTCTTGCTGCTCAGTCTTTCCATTCCCCTCCTCCTCACTGCCTCACGTAGCTCCTAAGTGCCATTTTAATATGATGGATCCCCTGGTAGTAAAAGTGACTCTGAGGTGAATTCATCAGAAAGGGTTGCACTGGAAACTCAATGAAGGACTCTGCATCACAAACCAGGGGACCTGGAAAGGACAGAAGAGGATGCTTTGTCAGGTGGTCACCTTTCAGAGCAGAGTGCTGGGCTCAATTTCCTGTTGGAGAACTCTGAATGGGTCTGACCTAGATGTTTCCACAAACTCTTCAAAAGGGCAGCCCTGTGAGGCAGAAAGAGAAGAGAGCCAGGGGGATTATGAGGTGGGAGAAGAAAAGAGAGCTTGAACAAAATGCGCCATAAGAAAAGGAAGTGTCTTTTCAGAAATACAATGAGACAAATTCCTCTTTTGCGAATGCTTTCTCATCCTGGGGGTTAAGATGGGGTGATGGGATGCTATATATCCAAACTGGAGCAAAATGACTCAGAAAAAGTAAGTGTTTCTTCATCAAGGATACTCATGGAAATTCAAAAAAAGAAATAAAAACAGGCAATAAATATGTCAGTAAATTATTCAAAATCACTACCATTTTAGAAATATAAAGAATCAAATTGACAAAGATTGAAAATAAACTACCAAGTGTTCGCATCATAGATAAGCAACTCTCTAAAACAGTGTTTTAATTAAATATATAATAGTATACCCTTTGACCAGAAATTTATCCAGTAATAAACATTTCAGGACATAGAAAATAGATTCAAGTAAAAAGAAAATTACTAAACATTACATTATCCCTTATGCTTACCAAAGTGACTGGAAAGATGTATTTTGAAGTAGAAAGAAAATATCTATTCTCTTCTTTCACTCTCCCTTCTCGCTCTCCCACCCCGTCCCCCCATGCATTTCAATCCCAAGGAGGAGCGTCTATGTTTTGTCAACTTCTGGAATACCGTCTGGGCTACCGTTGGCAGCCATTGCGTATTAGAAAGGTAGATCACTTGGACTCGGGAAGGGGAACATCACACACCGGGGCCTATCATGGGGAGGGGGGAGGGGGGAGGGATTGCACTGGGA